ATTCCTATTCTAATAGGATTGTATAAACCTATTCATATTCTAACATAAAGTTTGACATTCAGAACTAAAAGAAGCATACTTGTAACCTGAATCATATTTACCTTCACATGACTCTGCTTCTCTCTCCTGAAATCCCCTCCACCCCAAACCCCTCATTGGGCAAAAAATCTGTTTGCCAGTTCATCTAAGGTGTATTGTAGCCAAAAAAGATTTAATTGTGTATCCAGCTGAACGGTATTCTCATAAACTAATTGTTAGAACGTCCCACATTGTTTCAATGAATGTGTTGTTGTCTTCTTTTATGGTCGTGGATGATCCTCGGTTTATGAGCTAATTTTCGGGATTGGGTCAAGCCTAAGTTCCATTTGTTTTAACATGGTATCAGAGATAAGCTCATCTTTGTTCCATATTTATCCAGTGATAGCTTCCATGATATGTTGTTCATGCTCTAGATGTCAAGTCTTGAGTGTGCTAGGGATGTTAGTTGAGGGAATTGGTTGATGTCTCCTTATACGATCTTGGACAATCTCCATCTCATGAACTAGCTTTGAAGTACTTGGGTACATTGCCATTTTCTTAAACAGTAATTTGACCTTTCAAAGTAGGAAAGGGATCTACTTTCTATAAGTGAAAAAAGAAGAGAGCTCTTAAATCTCAATTAGAGTTGAAGTTTTGGAATTTGTCCTTTTTGTTTTCACTTATCAGAAATTATATAAAAAATGACCCTTTATATTTTCATGATATTCTAGGAAGCATCGCTTCATATTGAAACTTCACATAACATTTCACAAAACATGATGAAAAGGTGATCCAATAAATAAGTGAAAACTCAAGGGTTTTTTTGCTAGTCAGTACTCACCCACTGGCAGTTTGACGAACATCTAGTCCTGCTATACCGGCAGCTTTATGTAGAGCATGCTTCCACCTCTGTACTTTCTCCAAATTATCCTTGAGGACTGTCTCGTCTATGGCTAACACCTTCTGCAAACTATACTGGAGATCTTCCTCATGTTCGGTTACCAACTTTTCAAAATTAGACTTAAAATATTCCACGTGTTTGTCCAATGCTCTAGCAAACCTGCTGTTCTTACCTTCACACCAGAACTTAAAATGTTCAATACAGTTGTGGTAGAAGAGAGACTATTACAATAATAATTTAAAAGTTAGTTTGATGGAAAGAATACAATAATGATTGAAAAGTTGGTTTGATGGAAAGAATATAAATTTGATTTGTTAAATAAGTTTTTTTTCTTCAGAAAATCAGGAAAAACACTATATAAATTATATTATAACTGGAGTGCTAGTTTCAACAACTATTTCTGATGACTTACCTTTCATGCGTATATCTGATGGCTCGATGTTATAGAAGACAGGATATGCTTTCTGTTCCTTCTTGTCAACACACTCCATGATCATTGTGAGTTCCTCCAAGCACCAGGTGGATGAAGCATAATCCTCGGAGAAGATAATAATGGCAGTTCTTGATTCCTCAATGGCTTTCAAGAGTTCCGTGGAAATAAACTTTCCTCTTTTAAGTTTCACGTCATCTTTGAAAACATTGATTCCTATGTCTTCCAAGCGTTTATAAAGATGGGCAACAAAGTTATTACGGGTATCATCTCCTCTAAAACTCAGAAAGGCATCATATTTCCATTTCTGAATCGATTCATTTTCAGGGGCCACAGGAAATGTAAGAGTTCTGGTAATCTGCAAATATACCGGGCCAAGACGAGGTAAGCACTTGGGACACAGAAGTGAAAAGAATTAATAAGTAAAGAAGAGAAGGATATCTCCATGAAGGTTAACAACCATGATTCATACATTAATACAATCACAGAAGAGGCTTGCATGTCAACTTTGTCCTCTTTGCAAAAGAAAGTAGACGATAGCATCATTAGGTACGTCTCAAACACAAACTAGTTGGAGTCAGCTATATGAATCCTCAAATCTATTATGTTCAATTTGAATTATTTTTATATCAAAACTCAAATCATTTGTTTTCTTAAGACAAATAAGGGAGTTCTCTAATACTTGAGAGTAAACAACAACAACAACATACCCAGTGTAATCACACAAGTGGGGTCTAGAGAGGGTGGGGTGTACACAGACCAAACCCCTACCTTTGTGGGGTAGAGAGTTTGTTTCCAATAGACTTTACCCCTACTAAAGAGTCTTTACATTTTTCTAGTGATATACAAATCCCAACCAATGTTATTCAAAGCAATTGCCTTGTCACTTAACATGACGAAGTGATTCAATGCAAGGGGTTATTGCAGGGGCATAATTATGGTGCATGTGAACCCATGGTTCCTCCATCAAACTAGGTATTTTATGTAAATATTTCCTTGAATTGATCTAATATTATTTGTTGGCCCCTATGCTCCAAGAAGGTTGAATAGTGCACTTGGTTGAATGCTGAGTTATTTACCTAGAAGAACAAGAATCCATTCTCACTTGATGCTTCCCTTCTCTTTTAATTAGCGATGCATCCATGTTCTAGAAATCCTAGATTCACCTATTGATTTATGGGAGAGACAATGTGTTTCAAACAAGTGTGTGCCTCAACTAATGAAGTGCAAAATTATCCAAAAGAAAATCAGCAGTTCTTTGAAGCTCAACTACAAGGGGTGGGATACTCGGATTAATATTGACATTATTATTATTTTGATCAAGTAAATATGTTTTTATTCATAAATATGGGTAAAAAACAGGTCGTATACAAAAGGTATACCAAAAGGTACAGAATCTTCAAAGAGATGATTCTCTGTGAGTTCCACCCAATCCTATATACAACAAAAAACTTTATGGATGCACCAAAAAAAATAGGGCTCAGAGACTACTAAAAAATACTAAACTCTACCCCTTCAAAAACTCTCCTATTTCCCTCTTGTGAGAAATATATAAGAAAAATATTATTGAATTGTATATCTAAATAATTACATTGAGACCCTATTTATAGACACTACATTGGAATCATTTTCCAACTAGGATTCCTATTCCTATTCTAAGTAGGAAATACTTATTTCTATTCTAACACTCCCCCTCAAGCTGGTGCTACAAATCATATATACCTAGCTTGTTACAGATGTAATTAATATGAGGACATGTGAGGGGCTTGGTGAAGATATCTGCAAGCTGATCATTTGACTTCACAAATTTTGTAACAATATCTCCCGAGTGCTTAGTCCTCTCATGAAACACTGGATTTGATGCGATATGAAGGGCCACTTGATTATCACACACAAGTTCCATATGATCGGTTTCTCCAAACTTCAGTTCTCCAAGTAATTGTTTGATCCAAACTAGCTCACAAGTTGCTACAGCCATTTCTTGATATTCTGCTTCCGCACTGGATTGAGCAACTACACTTTGTTTCTTACTCTTCCATGACACCAAATTACCTCCTACTAAAACACAATATCCGGATGTAGAATGTCTATCAAAGAGTGATCTTGCCTAATCAACGTCTATCAAAGGGTGATCTTGCCTAATCAACGTCTGCATATCCGGTGATATGCTCATGACCTTGATCCTCGAAGAGTAGTCCTTTACCAGGAGCTGACTTTATATATCGCAGAATACGAACAACTGCATCCCGATGACTATCACAAGGAGAGGTCGTAAACTGACTTACAACACTCACAGGAAAAGAGATGTCTACCAACCGTCTATACCTTTCAGGATTACTGAGTTGCTCCCTCTGTCCTGGAATGAGTTTAACATTCGGATCCATAGGAGTATCAATGGGTTTACATCCCATCATTCCTATCTCCTCAAGAATGTCCAAAGCATACTTGCGTTGAGAAATAACAATACCTGATCTAGATTGAGCAACCTCAATACCAAGAAAATACTTCAGTCTGCTGAGGTCTTTAGTTTGGAAATGCTGAAAGAGATACTACTTCAAATTAGCGATACCAACTTGATCATTGCCGGTGATAACGATATCAACAATGTAAACAACCAAATAAATACACAGATTTGGTGCTGAATGCCGGTAAAACACAGAGTGACCAACTCCACTACGCGTCATACCAAATCCTGAATTACTGTGCTGAACTTCCCAAACCAAGCTCAAGGAGACTGTTTTAGACCATAGAGTGACCTCCGCAATCGACATACAAGGCTACTAGACTCCCCC